GCCGATATAACTGCCTGCCCAGTTACAAACAAATTGATAGATGCAGTGCGTTATAGGGGAGACCTGCTTAGTAAGCTTGACTGAATACAGTGGTAGTTTCCTGGTTGCCCAGGGAGGGTAGACTTTAGCAGCATTGAATGCATGTCGGATTGCGACTGCTGTGCGTCGTTCTACCTTCTTAGCCACAGCATCACCTTTGTAGCTTAGTTGCAGATAAACAGGCTTTTTTGGTACAGAGATAACGACCGGCAGTAGCACCTTCTCACTATTGACGAAGCCACATAAGAAGTCCACCGTTTCTCTTAAACAGATGTTGGTAAATCAAGGTTGTACCTTCATGGAACACAACTCTTTGTCCGAACTGTTAATTTCACGCAGCTGTTCAATCAACTCAAAGGTCTCTTTCAAGTTATAATAATGCGTATCTTTCACTTGATGAGAGAAACTGTGTCTATAGCGGCATAGATCAATTTGTACACAAGTGTCCATGCTCTTGCATGGATGACAAACATAGGTGGTGTATTGGGATATGCGTTTCTTGTATGAACATTCTGGCGGATGGTCAAGTCCAAAGACTAGTTATGAAAACATTGATGTTTATATGTTTTTGTGCCCCTCTTGGAATACCTCATCGAGGGATTTTTCCCATGTGAATATAGAGATTATGGTAGTTAGATCAAGGTAGTTCGCAAGTCTGCTTCTAAATGTTTCCACCTTGTCACATGACCTGCATGTTATCGGTAGTTCATTTCATATATAGCTGTATCTGACCAGGAAGAAATTAGAGCGGACGTTCGTTCTAGCCTTCGGTATATTCAGTGTAAAAGCTTTGTTGCGAAGCGCTCGAGTTGAGCAATGTTGTCAATTGTTTGTAGGCAGGTTGGAAGAGGTCTTTTTGTGTAGCACGTTGCAAAGCAGCAACAAGTTGTCCTTCAATCGCCGTATCCAAAGTGATTCGACAGGAAGTTCATTGCAACGTTTTCCAAAACACATTACAGAGTGTTTAACAATCCCATGTTTAGTAAATGACCTCTGCAGGTGCTCCACAGCGATTCTGTCACTCTTTCTCATATTGCCGTATATGATGCAGCAGTATTCAAGGATGGGGCGAGTGAGTAGCTTGAAAAGCTCAACTCTGGCACGAGTTGTGTGTATTTTGTTTAACTGCTTGAACATAGACAGTCTGGCACGTGCTACTTGGTATTGGACCTGTTTGGAGAAATTGAAGGTAGACGAATACCTAATTCCAAGATGTCAAGTGGGCAACTGTGTATGGACACTTTCATTGTTTACGGTGTTGGAGCCTTCAATGTCATCTTTCAGACTGGTATCGGTAGTGCAATAGTCCAACCTGCTAGCTTGTGATACCGTGAATTATGCAAAGCTATTATTTGTCTGAGCGGGACATTATCCTTGTGAATTATGGGTAGCCCCTACATCTGGGGGGGGTGTCGGTGTTCAACTACTTAAAAGCGTTGTATGTCACCTGTGTTATCATCCTATGAAGTAGTAATCTTTTCAGTTGACTGGTTACTTTCTCTCTAGAAGTAGTACGTTGACGATACCTTGATGATCGCACCATTCTTGGAGGCTGTGCAATCCTTTCTTACAGTCATGAGCATTATACACGCAAATGCCCTCTTTGTCTGGGAAGTTGCTAATTATAACAGTGTTGGGATGAGCAACACCAAAATATTTCCATTTTACCTACGGTCCTTGTGATCGGAATGACCGAGGTCCACCTCAAGTGAACCGAGATCACAATAGAGGTTGCTTGTAGCAACCCAACCACACAGCGCATTCTCCAAGCCCAACTTTGATAAGCGCCTGCTCTTTTCCGAGGTACAATTGAGGAGGCAAGAAGCTGACACGATACAGTGCACCGTTTACTGTAAATTTACATGGACCCTTTTATATGAAAATTTTAAAACTTTAACACCAGTTCAATGTACACGTTGCCTTGTCAAAAGGTTATTCAACCAGGCACGCTGCACACGCAGTACGGAATGCATCGGAGTTGAATTGCAATGCATCATTCAAACTCTACGGGGAAAATCGCTACGCAGAAGCCTTTAGTACGTTTCATAGCCGCCCTACGCGAAGTGAACAGCCAGTCGTTCACTATGCACCAAGGATGCCTGTTTATCTGCAACTATCCTACAATGGTAATGTTGTGGCTAAACAGGTAGAACGACTCACAGCAGTCTCAGTCCAACATGCATTCAATACTGCCTAATGCTGCTCTCTCTGGGCGACCAAGAAGCTATCACTCTCCCCAGTCAAGCTCACTAAGCCGGTCACCTCCATAAAAGCAACTGTATCTATGGATTTATCTGTGATTGTCGTAATAGTTACCTCGGTAGAACAGACGGCTGTTTGGGCAAGCGAATTGGGAAACACATTTCACAGCGTATCGTCATCATGAAAAGCATCTACCAACGGGACTTTAGTGGCCATGCGATTCGCGGGAGTCTGTTTGCGGCATTGTCAGTCGGTAAACACCCATTCTGTGTAGCATCTGAAAAGCTGTGAACACGTAGGAGTTTAGAAATAACTTTCCTGTTGGTACCACACATAATGGAACCAGATAGACTGTCAGATGTGAGCTAGAATGAATTCTGTTTGCTGACAAGGAAACTTGGTGTACTAAAACAACTTAAAAGATGCGGGTGGTCTAATCTGCGGGTAAGTAGCGCACACTCTTCCAGCTGTAATACAGCACTGCCCCCCATAAATTTATGCGTCACTAATACAATCAAAAACGGCACTGGTGCTCTAATTCACACTAAGAAACGCGGTCCGGTTCGTTGGACGGATCAAGTTCGAGAGTAGTTCAGTTGGCATCATGTCGATGGACCTCTTCCTGTACAAATGATATAGGCAGAACCATGGGTAGTGAGTATAAAGGATCCCTCTGAGGCTGATCAAAACACGATCACAACTCTCAAGCCTATTCAAGATGTCGGCATGGATGCTCTCATGTCTACACTAGTTAGGGATGTTTGTGAATTCTGCAAGGTGTTGACTCACCTGCTCGCAAAGTCTGGGAGTAACATACCATGCCCACCAATTGGAGTGAATCGATCGTAGGGTACTATACAAAAGAGGCAGCCGCTCTATTTGTGGTAACCAAAGGAGGATCAGCCTGAGGCAATAGTTACTATCCTCAATTCGCCTCTATCACATCCCTATGGAACAAGAACCCCGAATGAGAGAGCAGCGAACCGGCTTCTGTCCCTGGGGAGGGGGCTGTATGGACTATATGCGCACTCTACCGTAGTTGTTAGAACAACGTCGAGTGTATCGCAAACTGACAACACCGATTCCCGAAAAAATGGAACGGCCATCCAGTGCCATTCCAGAGGTGTGTTGGCCGTCTGACCGAGTCTGGATGCGATGAATTTCGAAGGACCCAGTTCAATGTTATACAGTTCATTCGTAAAATTGCAAATGTTATCTTGGTTACGTGCTACTGCCTACGTGTCGTTTACTGCATAGAAGAAAGTGCAGCGTTCGCGAAGGGTAAATTTTGACTTAGCAGCGGAAAATAAAGACGCTTAGAACTAAACTTGGCGCTGTTGGTCCTTCTTTCCTTCTAAACTGGAGTCCCTGTAACCCGCTTTGAGCAGGCCTGGTGACTGTACACGGCATGAGTCGCATCTAGCAGCAGTAGCGCATCTGCTGTCGTCTCATTGCCAAAATTTCTGCTTAAACTGTGTCTGCTGCTGAGATATCTGTGGGATAATGACTGATTATTACCAGGACAATCAAAGCAGCAATGAAAATGTCTCGCCAATGCGTTCCTATATTCTCAACTTGCCCGGATCTTAGTGCCGTTATGTTATTGACGAGGTGTAGGCGCCTTGACACTAGTTGTTGAGTAGGTCATTTAGGCATTACACTACCTCTCGCTGTAAGTAAGCAATAATTTAGCGTTTTTTCAAAGCAGCTTCCAAGTTACGTAGTGCTCCACGTGCCCGTAAAAATGGTAGATCGCCGTCAGTTCTGCATTCTCCCTCGGCTCCATTAGGAGCCGAACCCATGACAACTAGCGGCTGGCACTTATGGTCAGGAGTCTAAACCAATGAGCCACGGGTGCAAGCAGAAGACCACTATGAATTTTAAGCTAAGTGCGACTTGGTGTGACCCGTCCTCCACTGCCGTGCAAATTACGATCGTTGCAGAGGACAGGATTGGCTCCGAAAGATATGGCGTCCAGTGACAGTAGCTATGTACGACACAGCATTTAGAAATGGTTAAGGAGGATGTTTTGGTTGGGCGAACGGGCAGTCTACTACCTTTCCGGCACGCACAAAGCTGCCTGATTTGCAACGTGCTGCGACAAAACCGTAAGCTGTTGTATCAGCAACCCAATACCTCAAAGCTTCTGGTTCCTTCTTTCTTCGGCATTTCTGTTTGCATGGCAACGAATCACCAGTTGAAACTAATAATGCCTTGCTGCTGATGCGCTGTAACAGATTCGAGACATGTTTATTCACATGTTCCACAAATGGTGTTCACTGGAATAAAGTATTCACCCACTTTGTCTAGCTTGTCATGTTTTGGAAAACTGCCTAGTTAAAAGGGGCCAGTATAGACTTCCATCACAATACCATAAGATGGGTACTATTACAACCGTTGGCATAGACAAGTATGTGTAATCGAGATGTCGCAGCTTCATAGAATCAAGTCCGCATCCCTGTATTCCTCCAGGCTATGAAGTATGATGACCCTACACTCTGTTACACCCTCTTGTACCCACACAACCACGTGCCTGAAATGTTTTCGTGAAACCTTGTCAGCATGCGGTGCAAGCCAACAATATAATCCCACTCGCTCGTTTCTAATGCATTTGGTAAAGTTCTACTGATGGTTGGTCTCATACTGCGTTTGTATAAAACCGACTATCCTTTCCAGAGTCTGAGAACGACGTGGTCCTACGCACCGAGCCACAATCCGATATCGTCATCCTTGACCCAACGGGATACCTAACCGTCTCCATGTTGTGGACCAGGATGGAAAATGGGCAGTCCATTGTGACTGAAGTGCCTGGCCCCATAATTTGCACTCTTTTCTACCATTCGCCCACTGGTTCTGTTAGCGAGCCCGAACTCAATTTCACAGACACCATCAGGATGAGTTTACTGCACAGGGGAGATGCAAGCGTTCGCTGCACTTCTCCCAACGGTACTTTCTCACAAACCATCAATAGAACCCTGCTGGACAACACTGATGTCGTGTTGAAGTGCACGGACATACGTCTTGTCTACCTAGATCCCAACCAGGATGGCTTCTTTGAGGTTTGTAAGCACCAGGCAATTGTCGATGGTCAGATGTTGAGACTGGAGAACACGTCACTGGCCGACTGCCAAGATACAAAGGGTGAACTGAAATTCATCGGTGGGAAGATCGTCTTGAATCGGTCTACCTCCGTCGGATACTTTGATATTCAATGTGATGATGGCTCGTTCAAAGCTACCTTTTTGATATATGGTGAGTTATAATCTCCAAATGAACATAACCCGACTGGCCAATCAGGTTCAGGTAGACACTCACTAAGGGGTATTCTTTTGCATATCATTCTTCGGTTAGCATCCAGATAAGCAAATCACAGTTATTTTGGGACAAAGTGTTAAATGTGCACGAAAAGTAGTTATAGGATACCAACACCCAACGCGCCATCTAACAACAGCTGGTAACTGAACCATTTGTAATACTTTATGAACCCTCTTGGCCGAAGCCAGTATCACTTCCTCATGGCGACCCCATAAATTACAAGCAGCAACTATCACAGCCAACCACTTTTCGCCTCTGACACTTAAGTTTGCAGACTTGCGCTAAGATGCATTCTTGATGGCTCAGTAAAATTACAAACAAACAACAGTCGAATCATCACCAAGAAAGATATGCCACTGCTGGAGCCGCACACCCCGATTCCCACGAAACTTCTTACTAAAGACCAAGCAAGCTTAGCACCGGAGCTAGTCATTCAACCATTCAGACTGCACAATAGCAATTGAGTTAACTGGTACTGACACAGTATCTGGTAGTGTGTGTCGAGTAGCCCTTCAAGAACCAATACAAAACCAGGGTGTTGTATTCTGAGAAAGCAGCAGACCGTAATAATAATAATAGGTAGGTTTCTCATTAATTAAGATACCGTGGTCATATTTGGCACAGAGCATAGTTTACAGAAGATCTCATGCTCATGCAGGAATGGTAAACATTTATGTCATTTTCATTGCTTTTGCTGTTTCAATGGTTTGTATTAACTCACAGGTGGGTTCCAACACAAAGTGCACCAGCTGGAATATTGGGTGGTAACAGCACTAATTGTGTGTCACACAGTATGAACATTTTTGTTTCACTTGTTAGATGTTATCTGGCCCTTCTTGGTACAAATCATCAAGTGATCTCTCCCAAGAAAACAGGGTCATAATCGTGTTCAAATCTAGATAATTGGTGAGCTTAACGCGAAATGCCGTTACACTCTCACACGATCTGATTTTGACTGGGAGCTTATTCCACAGGATAGCATATCTGATAAGGAAAACGTTAGACTGCAGATTTACCATGCACTTGGGTACACTCAGGGTGAACTCATTAGTGTGTAGTTCCCTTGTCAAACTATGTTGTAGTTCTATGGAGGGCAAATAGCAGTGGACGTTTTGATGAATCATGTTGTAGAGAATCAGCAGGTTATGTCTCAATCTTCGTAGCCAAAACGGATCGAGCTGGAATTGTTGGCAGCGCTCCCGATAGTTCATAGTGGATGTTTTGCCTAGCAGACGTTTGGTAAATGACCTTTGTATGCTTTCCAGAGATACTCTGTCAGATCTCCTCATGCCACCACAAATGATACTGCAGCGTCGAATTTTACAAAGTAGTCAATTATTCCAAGCCTTTTGGAGGTTTTCGGTTTTGCTGTCTTCCGTCACTGCACGCTACGACGCGTTTCGTCCTTTTTTTGGACTAATAGGTTATAGATAGTTTGATGTGGGAGTGAAACTGGGCACATAGTGTTTGGCGGCTTTAGCCATGATCAGTATAGGTTTGAGCTTCGGAAGCATTGCAGGAGGATGGATAATCCAGCACCTATTGCGATTCGAACTTGAATCAAGGATACCATAATATATGTTTGCCCCATTCCAAAACGGTAAGTTTGTTGGTATCCAAAATAGGAGGCTTTCAACCTCAAACTTCGTTATTTTTTCACACAAAATTTGGGGCATGTCAGTATTCACAATCTAGACAATTAAAGTGCATGCCTGACAGCTTTGATTTAACGAGATCACTTAGCCTGATATCATTTGCGCTCAACTTTTTAGATGACACACTTACCTTGCGACCTTTTAACAATAAAAGAGTGTGGTTCCTCAAGGTTGACAAAAAAGTGCCATTCGAATTCGTTTTCGCTCGAAAGAATATCTCAGTGCTGTTGCTCCCATCGCATATCGAAGCGGAATGCTCGATAGAAAATGAACTGCTTGGCACATTCAATGGCCTTGACCTAATTCTGAACCCCGATGCAGTGCCAGTGTTTGCGCGTCAACGGGTAGAGTGCGGCATACACGAGCGAGTGATCGTGCGCACTACATGGGTACATATCTGGAGTAAGTTGTACTTCCTGCGTTTTGGCATCATTTTTCATGCATAATAATAATAATAATAATCATGTGTCAGTTTACGCCGGAACGGCGCTTTGCTGCCGCGCGACTACCACCAGTCGCGCGTGGGCTGAGTATACCGCGAGGAAGCCCACCCCTACGCGGATTCGAACCGGTGATATCATGATTGCCAACCAAGCGTGCAGACCACTCGGCCACCAGCCGACCATGCGTAATGATACCGTTTGTTGACAAAATGACTGGGTGTGCAAAGTTCATTTGTCAGTCACCCAATTCCATTCGTCTTTAATCAAGATAACATGATTTTCCTGAGTGGCTAATGGTCTATGTCAAAGAGGTGGTCAGCAACAACACAAACATTGCCTCAACTCAGAGGCGTAGCATAAAGGGGGAGGGGGGTCCGCCGCGGGCGCCATGTGACAGGGGGCGGCATATTTTTACCACAGTTGATTGTTCAATACCTCCATGAGTGTAGAGGTAAAAATAAAGGGTGTTAATCATACTGAGACGGAAGATGTAAATGGTACTAAAAACGTTGATCTCCGGGAAACAATAAGTCCTATTATAATCGTTGATGCAGCGGGAAATGTTTGTAATGGTGATTCAGTACATGTGAGCGAACTTTAATTATTGGAATTGCAACCACTTTGGCATGATCATACGCACATCACTCAATTTTATAGAGGTCTATCAATAGTCTGTGATGATTGAGCACGAAATTAGCACTATACATATCCGATTCTGATTTATTGTCGTCAAGCATGCCGATTATGAATTTAATAATTGATGCTACCTAGCGCGAATACCAAGGTGTGACAAAGAAGTTACCAACGAACTCGTTTTTTCAAATTGTGAGAAAACGTGCAAAGGTTGCTAACACGGAGGATGTATTCTCCTTTAAAATGGACCCTGGTTTGTTTCTGCTGCAGGATATTTTCAACTGGATAGCCGTTGAGGAGTTCTTTAAGAACGCACTGGGCGATTCGTTGAACGCTGGCGTTGAGCTCCTCCCAGGTAGTCGAGTTGTTGATTTAGAATATGCTGATGATATCGTCTTGCTGGATGACGATCCACACGTCGTGCAACTTGCACTAAACCGCTTGGCGATTGAAGTATCAAAGTATGGTATGTACTTTTCGCCATCCAAATTCAAGGCTCTCTTCCAAGACTGGCAGGTGCCTCTGCCTGCACTGACTCTTGATGGTGAGACACTGGAGGGTGTGGAGAGCTTTGTCTACTTGGGAAGTTGTATCACTGCTGGCTGGCTGTTGGAGACGAGATTTTGATGCGCATCTGGGGAGCACGCCACGTTTTTTCTAGGCTGAGGCACTTGTGGCGTCGCCACGACATTCCTCTCTCCATCAAAGAGCGGGTCTATTGAGCAACTGTTCGTGCTGTACTGTTGTACGGATGTGAGACCATGCCCATTCGTAAACATGACTTGCGCAGGCTATCTGTCTTCGAGCATCGCTGTCTGCGGTCCACTGCCCGTGTGTGGTGGCAGCACCACACAAGCAATATGGAAGTTAGACATTGCGTCTTGGGACGCGAAAGCCACTCGCTCGAGGAGCTCGTATCGCTGTATCAACTGTGGTGGTTGGGACACGTATTGTGCATGCCTGTCCAGCCTTACCTGCTTCCTGCGTTGTTTGCGATTACTGGACAGGGTTAGAAGGGACGGTCTGGTGGACAGCCTACAACACGGAGAAGCCGCAAGAAAAATCTGACGAACCAGTTGGCCTCAGCCGGTTGTTGTCGACTACCTGGTTGGGGTCGGAGAGATGCGGATACTTGCTGGTTAAAGAGCTTGGAAGCCATGGCTCAAGATCGATGTCAATAGACGACGTGTGCATCGGTGTGTTGCGGTGTCCCTCCTTCCTCCCCCTAAAAGACATACTAAAAAAATTTAAAAATTGTGAGTGGTAAACTGAACAAATAAAAGCTTTTGTTGGTGTTATTTTCTTATTATACATACTGTTTTCCACTTCAGCCATGATTCCGATGGCACAATATCTGTATCAAATATATATGGTTGGCGGCATCCGGTTTCGGGTTTGCCTGTCACTGTGGCAAGCCACAGGACGCCTGCGCCTACAGAGGGACCATGGATGGCTTGCGCTGCACCAACCACAGCTCCAACCACACACCCAATATCCAGTGTAAACCCGAAGGAATAAGACCGGGAGGCATGCGGATGGGAATCACGTTTCATCAACGGAGCCGGCCCACACTCCTTCACAGGCAAACACAAGCGCAATGTATTTGGGAATCAAGCGCACACAAGGCGGTGGCTGGACCGTAGTCCGCTCCACACTGAGTGCATGGAACCACTCTTCGATCATATTGGCTCCAGCAGCCAGGTGGTCGTTGCCGGAGGGGACGGGGTGCACGGTCTTTGTGGCCGTGTTAGGATCAAAGAGTGGTTCCATGCACTCAGTGTGGAACGGACCACGGTCCAGCCACCGCCTTGGGTGCGCTTAATTCCCAAATAGAGTGTGCTTATGTTTGTCTGTGAAGGAGTATGGGCCGACTCCGTTGATCAAACGTGGCTTCCATCCACATGCCTCCTCGTTTTATTCCTTCGGGTTTACACTGGTTGTCCAGTATGTGTTTGGAGGTGTGGGTGGTGCAGCGCAAGCCATCCATGGTCCCTCTGTAAGCGCAGGTGTCCTGTAGCTGGCCATAGTGTCTGGAAAATCAGATCCGAATGCCTCCAGCCATATATATATATACATATATATATATATACTCCCCAACAATGTAATATGGTACCTACGCGCAAAGCCACTTATCATCGGGTGCTGGAACGTGCGCACACTGCTGGGCCGGAACTCCAGTGAGCGCCCCGAGCGACGCACTGCACTGGTCGCGATGGAGCTAGCGCGTTACCATATCGAGATTGCGGCGCTCAGTGAAACCCCTCTCGCTGAGTAAGGTAAGTTACTTGAGGCAGGTGCTGGCTACACATTCTACTGGGTGGGAAACGCCATCTCAGCACCAAGTGATATTGGTGTCGTGTTTGCAGTATCCGATCGCCTAAATAGTCAGTTGTTAGATGATGCAAATGGCATCAGCGCGCGACTGATGACTGTTCGCCTACGACTCGGAAGAGGTAAGTTTGCTACTTTTATAAGCACGTACGGTCCAACCATGTGTTATCCTGATGATACGCGTGATCAGTTCTACACTCAGTTATCTTCCATTATACGGTCTGTGCCGAGGAGCGACCGACTATTTCTGCTGGGTGATTTCAACGCGCGCGTTGAACGTGATGCATCAGTGTGGACAGATGTCATCCGTCGACATGGCATTGGTTCAGCGAATGCGAACGGTGACAGACTGCTCTCACTGTGTGCCACTCACGGCCTGACGATCACGAACACTCGGTTTGCACTGCGTGCGAGTGATATAGCAACTTGGACGCACCCACAGAGCGGTCACGCTCACCAGTTCGATTATGCCATCGTACGTCAGCATGAAATGCTTGAAGCACGCATGACCCGTGTACTGCGTGGAGCTGAGTGTGGCACTGAACACAAATTGGTTCGGACCGAACTGTACATATATTTTCGTAAATCTATGTATTGCACTCCCACCGTGAATCGGCGTAAAATAAACATACTCTCCCTCGGTGCTATTGCGAAACTTATTGAGCTGGAGAATGCGATTGCTGTACGCCTGTGTGATGTGGACTGTATAGCCACAGTGGGCGACCTGTGGCACCACATTCGCTTTCAGGTGACAGCTGCTGCCGAGGAGACCATCGAGCACACAAACTGTAAGTGGCCTGATTGGTTTGATGAGAACAATGCGACGATCGGCGCATTGGTGTCAGAGAAGACTGCAGCATTTGCTGCACATGTTGCAGATCCCAGTGACTTGGGGAAGAGGAGTCAGTTTCGCAAACTTCGACGGCGACTGACCCGAGAACTCCGTCGCATAAAAGACGCATGGTGGGCGGAGAAGGTGAAGCAGATGGAATGCTACGCCGAACGCCGCCAACACAAGGAATTCTTTGACTCCTTGAAGGCGTTGTATGGACCGAGATTGGAGCCGCTGAGGACGCTGATCGATGGTAGTTCAGGCGCTACCTGCACCCAGACTGCAGACATAGGGTAGGTCTGGCGGAAACACTTTGCTTGCCTCTTGAACAACCGTTCAGAGATTTACTGGCCTACTTTGAACTGCCTCAAGCAGCACGATGTGAAGACGAGTTTGGCGGACATGCCGACACTGGATGAGACGCAGAGAGCACTTGCTCAGCTGCGAAACGGCAAATGTGCCGGAGGTGACGGGATCCCACCTGAAGTATTGAAACACGGTGGACCCGCGTTGTTGACTGCGCTGCACCACTTGGTGCAACGTGTATGGATTGAGGAGGAGGTGCCTGCTGAGCTGAAGGATGCTCTTGTGCTACCACTGTACAAGTGCGAAGGGAACAAGCAATGTTGCACGAATTATCGTGGCATCAACTTGCTGAGTTGTGTGGGCAAGGTGATTGCCCGAATCCTGCTCAACCGCCTTGTCAGTCAGGTTGTGGAACCTAACGTGGCGGAAGAGCGGTGTCGATTCCGTTCGGGTCGGCGCACCATCGATAAAGTGTTTGCGCCTGGTCAGTTGCAGGAGTAATGCAGAGAAGCACACCAGCCATTGTACTCGCTTTTTGTTGATTTCACCAAAGCATTTGATACAGTGAACCACGAGGCATTGTGGCTGGTGTTGGATAATCTTGGTTGCCTGCATAATTTGTAAGTTTAATTGAATGTCTGCACAGTGGTATGCGAGCGAGGGTGCAGCTGAGTGGAGAGACCTCGGATGACTTTGCAGTTGTCTCTGGTGTGAAGCGAGGCTGTGTCTTAGCTCCTGCCCCGTTTAGTATATATTTTCATGCAGTGATGTCTTGTGCTTTTGATGCGGCTTGTGCTTACGGTGTTCGTGTGGAGCACCGTATTGATGGTGAGTTGCTGAACAT